CACATACATATACGTACAGCTTGTTTCTATTGATACTAATTCCTCTAGAATATTTACAGAATGAGAACATGTAAGGCCAGATGTCGTAAAGGCTTACAGGGTAGAATGAGGTCAGGCAGCATCTGAAGCAGAAGCCCCTGAGGCGCTGCAGTACCACAGGCAAGCACTGTCAAATGTGGAACTCATTCAGAACAAAATGTTTTTGTTCAGTCGGTTTGATTTGGGAAGATGAAAAGCTTTTGGGAGAACAGGAGTCTTCCAAATTCAGACATGGAAATTGCATTCCCATCAAAAACCTTATTCTGACTGGAAGTCTCTGACTGCCTCACCTGCTTACCAGTGTTAACCTCAGGTTCGTGACACAGTTTCTGAAGGTTGGGAAGCATAATGGAAATGAAATCATTTTATTATAAATGAACTGCAGATTTTTTTCCTAGGCTCAGTTAAAAAGACTGGGAAGAAAAAAAGGTCTTTAACTGTGCAAAGGTCTTGTGAGATATCCCAGCCTTAGTCTGAAAACACTGGAGAAACACTGTGTGTAGCCTTTGGGAATGAAACCTTCACTTATTAATTATTTTCCTTGGAGTTTCCCTTGTGGCATCATTATGTGCTTCATTAAAGTAAACCAAGTGCAAGTCTCCTTGAGACATCAGAAAAGGAAGACTGGTGAGTCAATCTACTGTACCGTTCAAGCGCTGCAGGACCCTAATCTATTATTGATAGGAAACATAAGAATAATCATAACATTTAGGGGTAAGGTCTGCACATTTCCCTCTTTAGCATTTTACTGGCTCTTCTTTCAGCACGTAATTGTGGGTAAGTAGATTCAGCCTGTGTAGAGGGCATAGAAGATTAGCAATAGGACACAATGTCTGCCTTAGACTCGGAAAAAAAAAAAAAGGATTCAATTAAATAAGGGGGAAATATGACTTGCAGATTTTAGCAATACACCCTTCCCAGAAAAAAAAAAAAAGGAAAGAAAGAAAAAGAGAGACAAAGTTTTCCTATCACTGTCTATAAGAATGGGTCCTTTTAGATTTTCCTTTAATTATTTGAAGATGATGATCACTGCACAACTCTATAGGTTTTCTGTATACAGCCACCTCCTTCAATGCTTTGTCTTTTGAGATGCAATGCAAGGTATTTCTGCCACCAGTTGGCTGTTTCAGCAATGTGGGAGAAACACTCTTCAGACACTGTTCCTGACTTCCCTCTTCCCCTGTCTCCATCACCATGAGGAAGTTGTGGTGGAAACTGCTCAAATTTTCCAGTGCTTTATTGTGGCGGAGGAAGATGAAATCACTTTCTCATAACACAGTGCAGCAAATCTCATAGGCCAGTTCCTCCCAGACTGGAAAGTAACTACACTGTGCTCTTGAAGCGTCTTGTTTCCTTAGACAGGAGGTGAAGGTGAGAGAAGAGAACTGAAGCATTACCAGGATTGCCTAGTGAGAAGGCAAGAAGTGATACTATGGATGTAGTGTCTCCCTGGATATGGGAGCTGATGAATGTTCCAGCTATTTCTTCTTCCTGGGGAAGAGAATAATCCTGACTGGAGAGGCATGGTGCTTTGTCTCTTTAGTGGTAGCAGGGCTAACTATGTGGATAGATGGGTCTGCTACACTCCTGTCTTCTCTCTGGTAGAAACCACTAATGATTGAAGGACCAAGCCATAATTTTTTACCCCAATAAGCTTCTCAGAGTAACTGTGGGTAAAGATCGATCAACCCCATTTCAGTTATGGTACCACTAGAGGGGGAAAGAGTATGAAACATTTACGTATCAAAACAGTTTCTGTACCCATTACTTTTTATCATCATTTTTTCAGTGTGCTGCTGCCTGCATGGGATTGACTTTCTGCATTTCCTACCCATGACCAAGCATTCTTCTCATATTCTGTTGTTGCTGTACCCTGCTCTATGGCAGAGATATAACTTACTGGTGGTGGTGAACAGGGAGTGACATGTAGCTCCCCACCCTCTCCAGACCCTCTGTTATTCTGCATTGTGACCATGTAATTTGTCAATACAAGAGATGGGGAACACATCTAAAACTAAAGGGTTCAAGACATTAGTCCCTCAAGCCAAAACATGTAGGCGTAAACTTAGATGTGCTTTATGAAAATTTCCCACCATTACATGTCCAAAAGTTCTCAGTGGAGAATGACTCTTAGCCAAAAGTTTGTATCTGTACCTGATCTGTACCACTAGATTCGTACACATCACACTAGAACTGAAACACAGTCCATTTCAGGCTTAATTGTAAGCCATAAGCAAAGGTGACTCAGTTCGTTTGTGGTCATTTGGCTTCCACCTGGCATGAACGCTGCACCCAAAGAGCCAGGGCGCAGACACTGAAGACACGCAGCTTGCTCGCATCCTGGGGGTTGCTTAGCTAGCTGCAAAGCACAGACATGCCAGCTCCTAACCTCGTGGCTGAAGTGCAGGAGTACAAATACTGTTGACCAGCCGGGGTAGTGCTGAGCTAAGCACAGCGTTGTATCACTGGTCCCCCTTCCCCAGCAGTTCACGCAGGTAGAAGTACCTGTTGTTCCTCTGCAGTTGTACGCACCCCTCTCTATTTACTGAAGCGCAGTATCTGAAGTTGAATAGTGCCTATTAACTGCAGTATTTCCCATTCCTTTAGGAAACTACCTGCACAAAACCTGCTTTATATAACAATACTTATCTCTTATTCTCAGACTTTCCTCTAGCCTCCTCACACCCAACTCTGAATGGACAGAAGACAGCAAAATCAGCAAGGGACTCTTTTTCAGCCTACAACAGCAAATACCTGACAGTTCCTCAAAACCGGACTTCCTTGCACAGCAGCAGGATCAATGGAGCTTTTGAAGCACCAAGCTGCATGGAGTCCTTCAGCAGTTCTGTAAGTAGGATTTTATGTTCAATGACTTACTTCTAATGCCTTTGAGATGAGGAAGAGGCTTGAAGCAGGGTGAGCAGAGCATGGTGCACTCTATTCCTCCGTGTTAGGCAAATCCATACTGTATTGGGAAAAGTAACTATGCAAGTAGACTGATACTACAGCCTTAGGTAGTTCAGTAGGCTCTCTTAGTGTACAGCAAGAACTAATTACCACTGTAGTAGTCTCACCAAGCTTTCTTAATTATTTACTTTAGCCAAAATCCTTCAGAGCAGGAATAGGGGGTTGCTATTACCCTTAGTGTAGGAAAAGATCTGCAAGCTGATGACTAAATTGGCTATCCCTGTGCAAACCCTGGGACAGCACGTTCCCAGGTGTTAGTGTGGGCTGGATTGGAAAGTGGAAGCGTAGTGTGGCTGCAGTCTTCAGAGCAGAGCTGTTAGAGGAGACACCTCTTGGGCTATGTTTGTAGTGATATACTGGCTATGAGAGGACTAGAATAAAATCGTCACTAAATGCTGATTTTACCTTCCCATTTTCTTATCGCTTGGTGTGCTGGCTACTTGTCTTGGAAATGTCAAGAAGCAATGAATGTGGGACTGAAGATGGTAATTTAAATCACTGATTCTGACTTTTACAATGGCTATGAGAGGGGAGGAAAGATCTTGATAGAATTGCAACTTATTTGTATTCCTCCCTAATAAGGTCTTCATGTGCCAGAATGTCACATGGTGAGGAAAGCAGTGCAAATTTAGGGCCAGAAAATGTCCTTACTGAAATCTGTTGGAATTTTTATTTGTTTTCTGTGCAATAGGCACCCATAATAATGGGGATGGCACTTAGCTGCCAAGAGTGAGGAAAAGAGTCAACAGAGAGGGAGGGAGAGAGAAGCATTGTTGTATCTCCTCATCCTGTTCTGTGTAACTCCAGCAACACCAAATGTTGCTATGGTGCTCTCTCAGGTGGCTGGGATGTGGCAGCTGGCTCTGCACGGTAATAAACAGGAAAACCTCTTAGTGACTTTTCATGTTCTCCAACCTCCTTCTTCCCTCTCCTGCATTTTGTTTGTGCTTCTAATTTCTGCCCACACTTGCCAGTAAGGGAGGAGAGGATGCTTAGAGCTCATCTTCTCTAGAGTCGGCTAATGCATTCCATTGTGCCAGTGACCTGGTGGTGGTGGCATCATTACTTCTGTGCTGTATAGCGTGAAAGTCTCTGGAAAGGAGACTAGAAATCTGCAACGGGTTTTTCTTCACCATGGCAGAGATGGATCCAGAAGGTTTGCATGGACTGCCTGTGAGTACTACATGAAAATGTATCTAACTAGGAAATGGGGAATTGCAATAAAATGCTGTCTCCCAAGCAGTTTTATATTCTGCCAGAATGTAGTGCTGAGTTTAAGTTTAGATATGCCTAAAGGGACTATATAGACACTTTACACATAAAGTGTGTGATAAGTGTAATGTGTGGAACAGATTATTTGGTGATAATTTCCTGAAAGAATGAAGGATGTAGTATACATATAAACCCAAGATTTATTTAGTGATGTGGTGACTGAAAGCTACTTTGTGGGAAACTAAGTGAAGAAAAGCAATAAAAACCAAGAATTTGGGAGATGTTGGGATATATAATAACACGCACACTTATATAATACCTTCAAAAATTTGTGCTGCGTTAACAAACAAGAAAATTGCCATATAGCATGCTAGGTTAACTTTGCATTCAGGGCTACCAGTGCATGTAATGGAAGGGGAGGTACGGAGAGAAAGAAATCTGTATTTGATACCTGTCAAAATTTTGCATGCATAGCCACCTATGGGAATCATAAATGTCTGGAATTAGGTTATGGGCTGATTACTCTGGATCAGATTGACCCTATTTGTTTGCTTGTACCTCGTTCCCCAGTCACTGGAGGGCTGGTGTCACTCTAATGAATGACACTGTAGACAGCTCTGTGAAGGGTTTTAAGCTACAGCACTGAGCTGGAAAAGGTGGTCAGTAACAGTTTTGGAAAACATACGGGCTATCTTAGTGAACGAGAAGTGAAAATGAATGCCTTACATTTGGTATCAGAGTTCAACACGGGTGCTGCAGGATTGCCGTCCAGGCTGGGTGCGATGGCGGGGGTTAGTACTGGAGCAGCTTGACCCCAAAAGGGTTCGGAGAGTGGACACGAGGAGGCAGGGACGGTCCGAGGGGGAACCAAGCCCAACACAGGGGATTTGAACTATTTTAGTCATTGATTTCCTTTTGCAATGTTACTGGTCAGTCACATAGTCTTTTCATAATATGTTAAAACACAGGTCAGCCAGCAGTTAGCCATCCACAGGGCACATCCTCTCTAATCCCTGGTATTTTCCAAAGCGTTTCTGTCCAGCCCTACGCTTCTTGGCTTTGTACTACATTGAGGATATTTCTCCCGTTCTAGCTCAGATCAGTTTCTTCCCTTTCTTCCTGCACATGGTTTTTTTGCTTCGCTCCCCTGCCCTGCTCCGCAGCACATCCTTTCTCATATCCCGATCTGTAATGTGATCCTTATTCTCACTCCTCCATCCCATTTCAAAACGCGGGTGTCTTCTTCTGTATGGTCTGTGTACGCGCAGGACAGGGAGACAGCGTTCGCGTGTCCCTCCGTACCTGCCCGTCAGGTAGGTCTCCCGTGAGTTGGGATAAGGCCACTATCTTTAGCCACTCTCATTTTTTTACGGTCGGAGGAGGTCAGCGTGACTTAATCTGGTCTGCAGAGCGCGTGTCTGTAGGTCACGCCTAGCCCTGGCTGACCTCCAATTTTGACTCTCCTCAGCTTTCCGTCCTTGTGTGGAGACGGACCCCGGGCCTGCCGCCTTCCTGGGCTTTTTGGCTTTCTTGTCTGTGAGACTCGTGTGCTTCTCTCCCAGATTATAAACAATTACCTGGACGGGACGCGAGGAGGGGCCGTGGACAAGGCGTCCCCGAGTGGCATGCATTTCAGGGACAGCAAGAGAAAGGTCGACTACGTCTTAGCCTACCACTACCGAAACCGCCTTGCTCGGCACCCGCCCGGCGCGGGCTCCCCGGAGCCGACGCGCGGATCTGCCTCCTCGGCCCTGGTATTGAACGGAGGGATGGGGAAAGGCCGTGCTGAGCTGCCGCGGCTGGACGATGGCCGACGTGCCCCGCGAGAGTGGCCGGGGCTGGAGGTGATCAAGCTCGGTCCCCTGGATGCCCTGGAGGAGGAGAAGCGGCTGCAGCGGGAGGAGTATGAACGCAACCTGGTGGAAGCGGGGCTGGAGATAGAGAAAGACCCTGAGGTAAGATGGGGAGACTGGGTGCCCGGAGGGGAGGCCAGGAGCCCGGCTGTGGCCATGACCTAGGGTCCGGCCCGGCCTGCCTTCATTCCTGCCCGGCATTAACATTAACTGAGAGGCAAATTGCACACCTGCCATCTCTTAAAAATAAGAATATCTGCCGCTTTTCTTCTAACATAGCCTCGCTGACTCCCCCACCGTCACTGCTGCAGCCACAGCAAGTGTAGGGTGACCTGGAGGTATGTCCCACGGCCAGCTTGAGGAGCTAATCCTGAAGACAGCTTGTTACCGCTGAACAGTAGTTCAGTACTGGACATCCCTGGGTCAAATGCTGCCGCCACGGCAACCCCCAATTAGGGATCTGCAGAAATATGTTGTACAAGCTATTTGATGAGTGCCTAAAATATGGTGTGAAGCCAAGAAGAAGATGGGAGGCATGTTTCTGAGTTGCTTGGTTGTTACTGCCTGGGAAATATGTGGTTGTTACTGTTGTTTAATGCACTATTGAGTAGCAATTTCAATCTTAGTTCAGTAGAAAACATATTTCTTTACCTAAATGTTCTTATGGCATGCAGTGAACACACTTTTCTTGCGCAAAAAAACCCCAAACCAACCTGTTTACTTTTTAATATTGTTACAATGAAGAAAGGGTCTCTTAAGTAATTTGCTGGAATACAAAGCGTTCTTAAGACATTTCATATTTCCTCAGAATAACTCGGTGATTTTCAGGGTGACTTTTAGCTTTCTTCCCAGCCATACGTAAGTTTTGTGTCATTTCTTCATTCCACCCACAAAAAGAACAACTCCTATGCTGCAACAGGAGAACCTCCCAGCCTTTAATGTATTTATTCTCAGCACATGTGCGTGATGTTGGATAGTGCTATGGTCATATCAGCTGGGAGCTGTGGTTAGGTTACTTGACTGCAGCCAGTCAGTCGAGCACAGGTCTTCCAAATCCCATGTCGATGCACTGAGCACTGCGCTATCCCTCTGGACCTCTTTGAAAGACACAGATATTTATATCCGTTGAAGGGAAGTCCCCACTGGGTTCTAGTTTTAGGTGCTCTGTTGTTTTTGACACCAAATTTAAGAAACTTGGGGCTTCTTTTCAGAGGTGCTGAGAACTTACAGCTCATATTGCTTTCAGTGCAACCAGTCAACACTTCCAAAACGTGGACCAAATCGCAGATTGCATCTGAAAATTTGAGTCTAGCTGACTTGGCATAGCATATGTATGTTAAATCACTGGCAGGAATAGAAAGAAATAGAAAGGCCTTTCGACTCTTAACATTTTCCTTGCTCAGTTTGCTGAGTTGCAGGTGGCTATGGGTTGTATTTCACTGTACAGCCTGGCTGAGCCACCCTTGCACTGAACAGAAAGCAGTGATCTCAGATCCTGAGTCTTTTATGCTAAGCATTGGTGTTAAGGTTCAATACTGCTGACACATGGCTATCTTACTGTTATGATTTTTATAACCAAATTGCATAAAACCCATGAGAACAGCTCTTTTTGGAGGCTTCTTTCAGTTCTGAATTTCATCAGAACCTGAAAAGTCTAGCAGGAGAATTTGGATTTGATTATTCGACTCATTACTTACCCGAAGTCCAGCTGGATTCAAATTCTGGTTTGGACCCCTTCCAAGTGATGACATGCACTCTTAAATAATATACAAAGTAATAAATGATGTCATAGAGAGTTGATCAAGAACAAACTTTTTGTCAAGGTTTTCGTTCTGAAGAGGAAAAGGCTTTTTGTAAATGAACCGGGGAGTTCTCAGGAAATTATTTGGTGACCAGTTCTTTTATGGGAAAAATTAATTGAATTTCAAAATTACAAAAAAATGCAATCCCATCAATTCTCTATCTATATACGTGTCTGTACGTAGTTGCTCCTGCCCTAGCAACACTCAATCTGTCTAGTCAAAAGGGGAAAGTGTTTTTCCCTCCAGAATCTCCTGAGAAACTAGAAGGGACTATGCATTATCCTTTGTCTTCCCTGCCCAAGACATGTGGCTTTTACTTCCTTTTCTTTTTCTCACTTCACTGTTTTTTTCTTCTGTTAGTTAACTCCTGTTAAATCATGCTGAAGCTGCTGTCTGTTATCTTGCTGTGAATTTCATAGAACATGCTGATCAGGCACATGTGAAGGGTACAGCTGGCCTTATACGTTGATTACAATTGTATGTTGAGCTGATATGAGAACAGCAGATTTTAGTCCTGGGAAAAATATGTGTCTATAGGTTCACTAAACTCAGAACAGTCTTAATCACAGCATGCTGTATTTTTGGTGTATAACACAGTGGACATTCAAGTACGACATTTCTAGTGGTTTACGTGGAACATGCATGTTGGGTTTTTTTTTGTTTCAGTGCTACTATAACAAGTGGATCTTTTTCATATAGTATCATTGGAAGTTGAGATGTATTCGCTAATATGTATCTCTTGCCATATGTTCTGGTCCAGGTCTTAAGATGAGTCTGATCTCCTGCTCAGAGGGCTGGCTGCGAAGGAAACTCAAAACAGTCCTTTGTGGCTGCAGCCCCTGCATGAGGGATTCCAGTTTTGGACCCTTGGTTAGGGCAGGCCTTGGTTTCTCTTCCTTATGTCATCTGCATACAGTCTTGCAAAGAAAAATATTCATTTAAGAACAATAGGATATCCTGAACACAATCTCTTTCCTGAAACAGGATCAGTTTTTACTTGAAGCAGTAGCAATAGAAAGGAAGAGGGCAAAAGGGTATCTATCCACTATGTCTGTGGTCTTTAATGAACTTCTCTGTGCTGTTCTTTCTAGGTGGCCTATAGTAGCTATACAGTTAAAAAAATTATCTTTGATAGGGCTGATGTAGTTCTGGTTCTTGTTAACCTCATTGCTTGAACAACAACAACAACAAGCCACCCAAAAAAGGGATCAAGCCATTGTCCTCTTTTTACCAATATTGTGGGAGTCATGAAGGATGTATTCACTAATACAGCTGATTCAGCATTTAATGACCTGTGAGCATCTGTCTTATGGCTGGAAAGTTGCTTAATCTATGAACTCAGTTAACCCTACTTTGTAAAGACTGTAAAGCTTACCTAAATTACCTAAAGATTAACCTAAATGAACTAAGCACAACATCTTTTGCATCAGGCTACTCAGTCTACTAACATCACATGGTATTGGAGTTCCTCTCAAAGCTGCTGTTGTAGGCTAAAATTGTTTAGACATTAGGAAGTTTGTCTCTAGGAACACAGGATAGCATTATGACAATTTAAAAATCTTTATTTCTACAACTAGCTTTTTGAAAAAGTGGGAATTTCCATGATGTTAAATGTTTGTTAACATATGATGTTAATATGGTTGTTATATGCTGAATAACTAGGGACAAACACCTTTCTCATTTGTATTGTCAATTCATTGTGTAAAAGATTAGAGACAAGAAAATAAATGAAGATACATAATTTGTATGCGGAGAGGGGAGTATTACTCTTTTTTGAATATGTGGAAAACAGGCAAGATTATGGTCTGTCTCCATAGTCACCCAGTTACTATTTGTCAATTAAGGAATTTTTGACTAGTTTTCAACTTCCTTATAACCTTCTATCCCTTGTTATTTCTGTCCTCCAGAGAAACTTTGTTCTTTCTTAATATAACTTTCTTGGGTTTTTTTTTTGTTTTCCTGTTTTTAAACTGAGATATTATTTTGCATGTCCAAGACAAAGTGCACAATGAAGGCAATGGGCATGAAGTTGAATGTTACAACTTTTTCCTCTAATGTGACATTGAGTACCCAAATTAATGGGTGGTCGTAAAGAGATTTGACAGCCGCCTTACCACACTCCCTGGTAATGTCATACATGATCCATAGCATGTATTCATGTGTTATAACAAATACTGCCGCCATCAACTTTCAGTCTTGATGTTCTGTGTGTCAGAGACCACAAGTGGCAGATTAAGTTTAAGGAGCTCTTTGGCTGGTTATCTTCTCTTCAGATCAAAACTTCTAGGTGGTCCACTGTAGCCTGTGTCCATGAAAACAACTGAATTAGCATAATTTAGGGTTATGTGGAAGTGATATTTGGTGGAAAGAATAGGACAGAAGAGGAAACTCCCTATTAGTGTCTAACGACAGCAGCATAGCAACACAGAACTACTGTTTTGCATAGTTTGTTATGAGTAAAAATAAAGTTTGCATCTGTGACCGGCCTGTTTGACCAGTCTACGAGGTTAGATAAAATAAGCCTGGTGTTGACTCTTGCATGTATATGTAGAATTAACTACCTTGTACTTTACATTACATAGTGACTAATATAGACCCCACTAACACAGATCCTGTAAACACTTATGCTAATCTGCATAGTGTTAAGCATTTGTGGGATTTGCTTCCTCTGCTTCAAAGTAACACAATTAAAAGTACAGTAAAACTCTTTTTCCCAGATGTACATGCCAGAACCCAGATTCTTTGGCACGTCTTTGTAAACCATGAAGGAATGCCAGAAGGTCACATTTACCCTTGTGAGCTAGCTGCCAAATCCATGACAGTCGTCTCCAAATAAACCCTATTTAGCACTGGTGGCACAAGTTAAATTTCGTATCGGATACACAAAGAATTGCCTGAGATAGGGCCACCTTAAGAGTACCCTCAAATATTCCACCTTGGTTTTCAGGAAGGGCAAAAAATACCATTAACATTGCAGGCAGTTCTTGGGGTTGAGGTTTGTTTGTTTGTTTTTTGTTCCTGGAGAAAGTGATTGTTGCGTTTCATCTAATGTGGAGCGCCAGTAGTTCACTTAAATTTGAGTTGTACTGCTGCTTTAATGACTGCAAATGCAACTTGTACTGTATTCAATTAGTATTATGTATGGCAAAGCATAATAGGAATAGAATAAGAAGACACTGGAGATGCACCTTGGCATTCTGACAAAGTAGGATCATTTTCAAGCGCATTGGAAATGAAATGTACTTTGCTAAATAGCATTTAGGAGATGAAAATATCTTTTAAGGGGAAGATGATGACAAT